TCACACACACACACACACACACAAACACACTCTACTCTATCCACAACCCACACCCCCTCCTTCACCCACACACCTCCCTTCTCATCACCCTCACACCTCCACATCCCCCTCCCCACCCCTCACCCACAACTCACCTTGAGCCCCCAGATAGCGAAGAGGGCTGAGAGGGGCGTGAACAGAGCTAGGACAGGAGCGTAGATCCGCACCAGCCACCCTTCTCTCCACACACCCTTCTCCCTCTCCCCACCCTTCCACAACCCACCTTGAGCACCCAGATAGCAAAGAGGGCGGAGAGGGGCGTGAACAGAGCTAGGATAGGAGCGTAGATCCGCACCAGCCATGCCATGAACCACGACACCCCGAGAGGGTTCTCGTACTCGAAGCCAGAGATCTTTTCTCTAATGGTGGCTTCCTGCTGCTGGTCCATCGACGTCACTTCCGCTCGCTGATACAACATGGCAGATCTCCAACGACTTCTATTTTTTTTTTTTGGATTCGTCTGTAAAAGCATAAATAATATTATTATTAATAATAATATGGTCGATGATAATAATGACAACAACAAGATAATAACAATAATGATGAAAATGTTAACAATAATAATATAATTGAATAATGATTTTAAAAATGCTCTCTCCCTCCCCCCTCTCTCTCTCTCTCTCTCTCTCTCTCTCTCTCTCTCTCTCTCTCTCTCTCTCTCTCTCTCGCTCTCGCTCTGTCCCTCTCTCTGTCTCACTCGTTCTTCTGTATAATTTTATTTATTCCATTTCCTTTCTTTTCCAGCTAGTCCTTACCATAGCCCTCTTTCTCTCGTTCCTCGCCCATGTTCTTCTCCCAGTCACAGTAATCAATCCATTCCTACTAAGATTTAGCACAAATCAAAGCCAAAGGAACAAAGAGGTAGAAAGACTTTACTGCCATTACTTACTGTACTATACGTACGTCTATACTTTTTGACGTTTGACAGTTCTCTACTTTAGAATTACAATGTTCTAGCTGTCATTTGGGGCCTTTTTGAGTTACTATAAGACCATGAGATCAGAACGCAAATGCTCTATCTGCTCCCTCCATCAATATCGTAAGAATATTTGAAGTCTTTATTATCAAGATATTCAAAGAATTGTATTAGAAAAATTTTGACTCATTGTAAATTTTAAAAAAGTTGGGAGGCTTGCAAAGCCACCAGTTCACACTCCCTAAAAAATGTTTTTTCACTCCCTGCTTTCAATGGAATATTTTTGCACAGAACCCTTGGAACAATTTTATTTAAACCCTAAACTAAAAACTTATATTTTGAATAGGAGTCGCCTACCAGATTATAGATCTAGATCGAGACCTAAAAATATGTCAAAACTAGACACTGAGCAGATAAAACATTGTAATTCTGAAGTAGCAAGCTCCTGATGAATAGTAAATGATACTAATAGATCTAGAACTAGATTTATTGAGACTTGACACCAAACCATTCAGCCTTACTGTGAAAGAGCAGGATTCTTGTGTGATGGGGCGATGTGTCTCTTTTTCTTAACACAACGCAAGATATATCGGACATAGATTCTATTTGGCTATGAAAACGATATACCTGAAGTCTGCTGAAGACTGCCCGTAATTGGGAGGCTTACAAAGCCACCAGTTCACACTCCCGTGGATTTGTACATCGTGAAACTAGCCTTGGTTGATGGCGACAGGCTTTCCTCCATGTTTCAGGGACGACTGCGTACTTCGTCATCGGCTTTCGTGTCACACAAGTGCGCAAAAAGGGTCTCGTTTTGATCATATTATTGGTTTTTCAAATTGAGAACAAAAAATTCAAGCTGATTTTAGTTCGATAATCTGGTAGGCGACTCCTATTCAAAATATAAGTTGCAAGCCGGGCCCCCTTTCGATGAAAGGAATGATCGGAGCGTTAACATCAACAGAAAGTCATTGGCCTACTATATTTACACTCTACTGGAATGCAGCAATAAATCTTGAGAGATGCAAAAAAATAGGTCTAGATCTATACTCTCGAAACAAAATGCGACTTACGAAATATCACTTCCAGCACTTCTGCAGATTTGTTTCGTTTCTCAGTTGAATAATCACAAAGGCCAAAGAAAGGCGGGAACTTTTTGTCAAATGTACTTTTCTAAATTCAGAAAAAGAATAAATAAAAAATCGGGCTCCGTTATGGGGATCTATATATCTTTTTGCAGGTACCTGCCAACTTTCAACCCTGTAGATTTAGCTGTCGTAGTTTTATGGGAAAAGTGACACATGTGTTTCCAAGTTGCCAATTACATGTATATAGATCTAATATGACGTTTTTCCCAGTCGCAAGAAAAAGAATTTGACAAAGGAGTCCAGAAAATTGATGATGGGCATCAAACGAAAGGATCACAGTCGAATTTAGAAGCCAGTAAAAAAAGAAAAAATGAGGCTAGACCTAGATCTACATCTAGATCTATACGGGTTGCACACTTAAAATAGTGCTCAGTATTGCGCGACAATGAGCGATGGTATCGAACGGAAGTACGACTTGAAATAAACAAACCTGGCGGATTTTCTAAAATTACAGAGACAGAAGCGTCGGCCTACAAAAGTGATCTACGAAATAAAGAAATTTAGCTTTTGCAGCAAAAGTGTCTCAAAACAGAAAAAAAAAATAACGAAGGGCGTCATGATCTAGAGAATATTTTTTTCAATCTTTAGGCGAAAACTTCATGTCTATCGATGCAGCCATTAAAAAGCCTTTTGAATAGCCAAATTCGGTCACCACAAATAGATAAATAATAGACAAATAGATAATAGATGAGTCTGGGGTTTTGATAAAATTGTTCCAAGGGTGTTGTGTAAAAATAATGCATTGAAAGCAGGCTGGTTCGGGCGATAAATATGTGGTTAGAATAATTATATTATGATAGTTGAGACTTTTAGGTCGTACTTCTTCTCAGCGTGTTTACCATCATCGTTGTTGTTGTTGTTATTTTCTGTTACGCCTCTCTCTTTCTCTTTCTCTCTTTCTCTCTCTCTCTCTCTCTCTCTCTCTCTCTCTCTCTCTTTCTCTCTCTCTCTCTCTCTCTCTCTCTCTTTCTCTCTTTCTCTCTCTCTCTCTCTCTCTCACACACACACACACACTCACACTCACACACACACACACTCTTTCACCATGCCACAGCAAATTTCTTTCTTTGGTATCTTATCTTATCTTATCTTATCTTATCTTATCTTATCTTATCTTATCTTATCTTATCCAATCGTACTGTTTCTAATTAATCGTCTTCCAAGCTTACCTCATGCTAGGTAGCTCCATTTGTTTAAATTTTAGTCTGTTTTATTCTCAACATATTTCTCAAACAGCTGTAGACAAATACCTGCAGCTCTTTAGAAGTTGGTATGAGGGTGGTAGGCGGGTTCTCGGGTGTGGTTTGCTCTTTCTTTCCTATCAAACATCTCTCTTCCTTTTCTCTCCTCTTTCTGTTTTGTGTTTGTTACTGTCTTGTAACACCTCTAATTTTCGGCAGTTATATGACCTTATTGAGCTGCAAGTGGCGTAAAACTAGTACTAAAAGAGAAGTTTGTATTGTAGGTTTTAATGTTTCTAATCCATCTGTAGGGCAGTGCACCTTTGACACTGATAGTGAAAATCCTTGTCTTGGCTTTTCTTCCTAGAGTTCTGGACCTCCGTACGTTTCAAGGTTGATAGCACTTCTTGTCTTTACTGTTATTATCTTTACATCTTTGTCTGTTTCTCCATTATCAATGGTGGGTTGTTTTTTTGTTTGTTTGTTTGTTTGTTTCTTTGTTTGCTTGTTGCGGGGTTTTTTATCAAGTGAAACATCTAGCCTTCTCAGGTAAGGGCAAAATTCTCGGAGGTCTCGAGCGCAAGTTGCAGATGCTAAAGATCCTTTGATGGTCCAAAATCGATAAGAGTAGGCTTCTGCCGTCACCCCGTCAAAATTTAAAATTAATTTCTACCACCAAACTAAAAATGTTTGATATTTCCCGCGAACTCCATCGCCTTATGCAGTTGCGAGCGCCGTAAAACACTTACAAAAAGAACCATTAAGTCAGTGAAGAAATCAACCTCTTCTTACTGTGTTTGCTCAATGGTAATCCGATCATTGATAGTGGTACTAATCTTTGATATCTTGGTGGTATTTAGATGAACTTTAAAGCCTTCCTTCTGTGAGATATTTACACACTAGCTGGGTACCCGTTCAATGAACGGACTCAAAAGAATCAATCGTCAAGTCATTTTGGAAACAGTGCGCAGTGCTTGTCAACGGAAGCCTCACTTGTTTACAATTACAATGGCGTCTTAGCAGACAGACTTTCCCTAGATTAGATCTAAAGGAAACGAATGAAAAGCTGAATTAAACTAGAGTGACTTCATACTCCTTAATATAACTGTAACCCTATAAATGATTCTGAACCACAGTTAATTTTTTTTTCAAATTCGAAAGTTAAGGGGTTTGGAAGTTTTAGGCGACCAAAGTGACGAACTTTCATAAATATAATATGAAAGTCCATATAGAGATAATTCTCTTTTGTTGTCCTACATCTGTTGGTGACTGTGTCAAAGTGAAGCAAGATCGTCTACGTGGTCAAGTTGTATCTATATAATGTAGGCTGGATTCCTGTCCCTCTGAGGTCGTTTTCATGATCCAAGTGATGGGTGAACTGGAATTGAATTTCCCTTGGCTCTGTTTTACTTTCACTTCCGTTTGTGAGTATCATGACATAATATTTTACCTTTTCCAGTGCACTGCCTCAGAATTACAACGTTTTATTTTACATTTTTAGCCGTTATGAGTTACAAATACCATGAGGTTAGAAATCAAATAAATGCTCTCTCTGCTCTATCAAAATTGTAAGATTAATCGGAGGCGTTATCAAGAAATTCAAAGAATTCCATTCGAAAAAGCTTAACATTTTGTGAATCTCACAATATTTTACGTCAAATTTCTCTAAACTATGTACTGAGCCGATAGAGCTTTGTAAAATTCTGAGGTAGCGAATGGCCGTGGATTGTAACAACCAAACTCAGACCCTGCACATTATTGGTAGTGCTTACTGTGTAGATGTTGGAGTAAGGCTACCAATAAGACTTCGGTGATTGTTTCCCAATCTATGAGCTAGGCACCGGCCTCTAAATTATGTGACTCAATCTCTTGAAGGATTTATACAACAGCTGGAGCGATAATTAAAAATCAATAGCAGCAACAGTAATAATGACAGCAACATTAAAAGCGACAGCAGCAGCAACAAAAATAACAACAGCAGCAGCAACAACAACAGCAAATGACAATAGACGCAGAAGCAAAGCAGTAATACTCGTATAAAAATAAAACTATAGTGAACAGTAGCATGGACTATGCCCGGAAAACAAATAAAAAACAAAAATGATTTTGTCTGCATAAAGGATGTTAAGGACAGACCGAGAAACGCAAAGACTAAGAGTGTAGTGTGTCGGTGAATGAAAGACCACCGGTCTGGGTTACAAACTGCATATTTTT